CTATTGTTTATTAGAAACACTGCTAATTAAAAAAAAAAACAAATAAAGAAAAGACTTTTCAGAAAAGGAAGTAAATATAGGGATGGCTAATATGAATCCTTCAAAACAAATGCAAACAAGATAGTAGGAATGGCATTTGCATCATCCATATGTAGTAGGACAGGCAAGAATTAAAATAAAACAATATATATATAACTAATCATTTACAATTTGAGTTTAATTTATCCTGTTTTGGTCTGTTAACATTCTGCTACACTGTTTGCTTGTGTTAATGTGTAGGGATCCTTACTATCTTGTGTGCATTGTTTTTGAAGGACTGATATTACCCATCCCTACATTTACTTCTTTTTTGTAAATTTCTACACTGGTCCCTATACCATCTTTGTTGTGGAATTCTAGTTCTTTGTTGTGCAGTGAGATAATGTTCCTGAAGCTAACATTTCCTTTACCTGATAATGTATTTCAGATCGATACTTACCTCTTTGCACAACATCTCACCCTTCCTCCCTACCTGATAATGTATTTCTTTTACCTTGTCAAAAATGAGCCTTTGATCAAATGCTAACGCTCATGGGGATTACTGTACGTGGAGATTGTGTAGGGCTATAGTGTAATGATGATAATATCATATATTGGCACAGCACAAGTTTAATACATTTTGTAGTTGTGGTGTACAAACAAATCTTCATTGAAGTGGCTCAAGGTAATAGGTGTTGGTTGTGCGAATAGTTGTGTGTATGTATGTCTTAAATATATTTTCAGATAAGGAAAATGGAACTGAATGTGGCAGATGTAGCATGTCTCACATGTTATTACAATCTTCCTTACTTTTCCTCATAGGCTATTAGAATTAATTGTTTTGAAATTTTTTACTCACACTGAAATCCTATATTTACTAGTCATTAACTTTCCCACAGGAACAAATCTTCTACTGTGAGTGAAATTGATGATATACAATGTTATATGATACGACATTTGATAGATGAAAACCTTGACTTTCTATTGGTTATATGTAATATAATGAAATGCAAGAGAGAACTATCAACGAATTGTGAAAGAGAGGATGTGACAAGTGAGAGTGGCAGGAGGGGTCTGATTTTCTGTTCAATAGCTATATAACTAAATAAAATTGAAGGCTCTAAAAATTATGGTTTTTTTTTAGTAATAACAATTTTATAGAGTGTTTTACATATAATTTCATACTTTTTTGAGGGGTGGTGGGTACAATAGAGATGATGACATGCTAAGACAAAATGTGTTGCGTGGGTCACAGAATTTTTTTAAATATTGCCTTGTAGAATTAAGAACTTGAAACTTGTATACTATTAAAATATGGATTATTAGCTGATATTTTATGCTATTGTAATTGTTTACAAGAATAAATTAGTAGCACTAATGCTGCATATTTTTGAAATTCATATTCTTCGATGAATTTGTAACGGCTCTTGTCTCATAGTTAGAAAGCCAGGAAAATTTTCAGAGGTAAGTGAATTTAGTTATTAGTCTGTATTCTTTGGTGCATTATTTAATTAAATAAAAATTATTAAGTGCATTACTATCTATAATATAAAAATTGAGGGCAAGAAAAAAGAAGATTGGGTAAGTACTTTATTTCTTGTTTTTTATATTTATTCTTTATTTATCATTATAACAGTAACTAAAAAGTAGAAATATGAATGTTTTTAAGTTATTTAAGACTAGATTAGGTAAAATAAGTAATAACAGTGATATAATTAAAATGGTTCACGAGGTATTCATGCAAGCAGCTCATGGGTAATGTAATTCGAGAGCGTAATATGAGCTGCACATTCCCCGAGTGATTTACAAGTTATAATGGTGTGGTTAGACACAGTTCAAAGGAATTATAAATAGATGTATACTGTTATGAACTTAGAGCTCCTTACGATAAACAAATCTTAATTTGATTTAGCACTTTTCACTGAGTTTTATAACAATTTCAGGAAATTCCACCTTTCATCACTTACCCTGAATATAGATTTTATATGGTGGTGGAGTGTATATATTATGTATGGTGTTTTAGAACGTCCTTTACTCGCACAGTAGCATTGTTACTACTAATTTATTCATGTGAATTATTCAGACAGACAAGCTGATTTAAAAAAAACTGAAAAATAAATGTGGAGTCTAATCTGCATTTGATTTATTACTTATCACCGAGTTATACCAGTTTTGGGGGATTTCACCCCTATTCAGTAATCCGGGACAGTATTTCAGTATTTGTGATGTCTTGTCTGGCTGAATAATTTACAAGAATAAATTAATGGCATCAATACTGCATGTTATTGAAATATGAAACCTAGTTGTATTCTTTCTATTTATTCAGGGTTACTGATGAGGCAAAATATTCTTTGAAACTGATATAACTCAGTGATAAATGGTAATTTGGAAGTTATATTGAGCTTTGAAATTATTTTTCAGTGAGAAAATTGTAAAAATTAGCAGGTAAGGAGGAAGAGAAGTTAATCTGCAGCTTTTTGATTATGAATCATCAACCAATTATTATGTTTTGGACAGTTCTTTTTATGGAAATTCAAATAAATGTTATTTTTCAGCTCAGTGGATAGCAGTTGAAGGTGTTGTAAAGACAGGACCTACAAATGGACCTTCAGGTAAGTTTTGGTTTTAATGTACACAAATCTGTGATTCTCTGTTAAGTGTATAAAGCTGTATCATTCTAATTGGAAATTACTTTTTTCAGCTTTTCTATTTATTAAATCTACTTAATGAAAAAGTAATTCATTTTACAGTAATTATCTGTTTATTTTAAAATGAGAATATGAATACATGATATAGGTTGGATAATTACTGAAAAATTATTCATAGTTATGATTGTTTTTAAGATGTGCCCAACAGAAGTGTTAAGTTACTTCATTTTTGTTCTTTTTTTTATTGATAAACTAAATAGAACAAGGACAATGACAATCCTCACCTTAGCTTTCAGTGAACAGTGTATTAATTTTTATATATTTGTCTGTCTGTCAATCCATCCATTTTTTTATTCTTACAGCCAGTAAAAAAAATGGTGGAAACACATCTTCTTTCAATGATTTAATGGGATACTATGACCAAGTAACAAAAGCGATTCTTGGAAGTGATGAAGACCTTTTAAAGGTACACAACTTTGTCTTTTAAAGAATCAATTAAGTAATATAAATCAACTATTTTGCTCTATATTGATTACCATTTTTTTTGTTCTTATTAAGTTAACAACATCAGTTGGGTCATGGAGTGTTGTCATCTTTTGTTAATAACCAAATGTGTATATTTTTGTTAATAACTAAAAATTTTAAATTATAGACCTTAAATGTTACTTATTATAAGGATTAGCTTTTATTATTGCCACTTTGTGTTTTAAAAAATAATGGTAAATAAAAAATACTTCTCTTCAACCATTTGTTGACTAGAGGGGTGCCACTAATACCATTTGTTGGTATTTTTTTCCTTTCTCACAGTGGAATAGTACATACTAAATAGTGTTTAATTTCTGCTTTAAAAAAATCTTATAATCATTGTAGCTTTTTATCGATTTTTTTGGTTGTGAAATTTCCAAAATTTCTGTGTAAGAGATTGTTTTGAAAAACATAAATTCTTTCTTTATCTTAGAATTTCATATTTTTTATTGTTGTTCAGAAAGTTCCATTTTATATATCCAGTTAATTTCAACTTGATTGATAATCATTAATATATTAGGTCATCAAGAAATTAATATCACCTTTTTTTAGATGAAAAAACCTGAACAACTTGTATATCAAAACAAAACATTTATTAAATGA